CTAGTTTAAAATTATCCAATAGTTTAAATAACAGATTTTCTAGTCTTTGGAGGACATTTAATTATTGTACTTAGAACATTACTTCGAATAACATTGGATTATTGATGTGTTTCTTCATTAAAATTAAGAAACAGACATGTGTTTTATGTTAATGATATCTAAAGTATCCAGATCTTGACAGCCTATAATTAGTCATTCAATCAAGGTCTTTAACATAGAGCCCCACCTTGTCTAATACTCAAAAGAGTCCTGATATGGAACTGACTTATGTTTTAGTCCTCTTCATACAAGTAAAAATCTGAAGTTTCGAGTGAACATTTAAGTTAAACTAAAGCTCAATATGAAGACTCTTTATTTTCCTACCAATTCATTCTTCATCCTCAAGCTTCCACTTTAGCCTTGTTGAAGGACTTTCCCATGGAGTCTGTTCCCTCTGACCTGTTCAATTTCCCAAATTAAGTAGGACCTAGGATGTGGTGAAAAACTTGTACGTGAAGTGAATCTCGCTTGGAGATGAGACAGTTTGAGCCCAACGTTCTCAATGCTCTATCTCAGAATAGGCCACAGAATCATAAACTTTCAGCACTGACAGGCCATACAGGTGATCTGGTGTACCTCCTATTTTGGTACGTAAAGTGAAGCTCAGTGAAATCAAATGACTTCTGTAACACTATGCATCTAGGTTGTGAGAGACCTGGGATGCAAACTGAGGGTAACCTCATTTCATTTTCTGGCCTGAGGTTCCTTTCACTGCTTAACTAGTCTAATTTATGGAGGGCAAGTGGTGGCACAGATTTAGTCCAAAGATGTGGGGGTAAATCAAAGAACATAATTGAAGTTTCAAAAGGAAGGAAATTGCATTAGAAAATATGGATTATGAGAGAATAAAATACGTTCAACAGAGAATCTTTTTGGAGGGCAAAACCAAGCAGGCATCTTTTAAAAGTCATTCTTCCTAGTAAAGATTTCCATTTTAGAGGGATACATCAGGAGGAAAAAAGGAAAACAGTCTTCTATTTAGCCAGGCAGATCACCAGACGCAAATGCAGCAACAAATGAGTGACCCACAAATGAACAACCAGATCCTCCTCGCAACAAAATAATAATCTTCTTGGACCAAATAGTTTTGCCCTTGGTTGAAGGAGCCACCTTGCCCCTGGTCACAGCTCCATCTCAGGGACAGTTGCATGCAATGATTGATAGGTGCTGGGTGGTATAAAGACCTGTGGCTCAGCCTGTAATCCCGCGCTTTGGGAGGCTGAGGTGAGTGGATTGCCTGAACCCGCGGGTTTGAGACCCCCCTGAGCAGGGAGACCTCATCTCTACAATAAATCAAAACAAAAAAAAGCAGCCAGGCATGGTAGCGCGCGCCTGTAATTCCGGCTACTCAGAAGGCTGAGGCGGAAGGATCACCAGAGCCCAGTAGGTCGAGGCTGCGGTGGCCGGGAGTGACCACTGCACTCCAGTCTGGGTGACCGAGTGAGACTCCAACTCAAAAAAAAAAAAGACCTGTTACCCATCCCTCAATTCAGAACAACCTTCAGGAGCCAACTCCACAGCTCCCAGTGGGATCAGGTGAAGTCTTTGTTGTGGCTGTATTATGATTCAACTTCTTACTCTGCCCAGACCTACTTCTGGGACTCAGCCTCAGGCCTTGTTCCTGAGAGCACTTCCAATCAACTTTCCACATGGAAATCAACGCAGAGAACTGGACTTGCAACAGATACCTTAATGCAAACATTTCCACTTATCACATGTCATCAACTAAATATAGCTCTTAAGCTAATTAAACAGTGAAGCCCTGTGCTCTTCCTGAGCTACTGAGGTAAGATGAGAAACGAGTCCATTGGAGAGAGTCAGGGCATTTATGTCACTACACAACTGGAGTGTTTCTTGGACTCTAAGAAATTAGTGACATCACCAAGAAGGGTTCCTCATCCCTGTCAGGTTCCACAGCATTCACAAAGACCGTACAATTCTCAAGAGGATACAGTTCTCAAAGAAAAGAAAAGAAAAGAAAAAAAATGCAGCCAGAAAGAGGCTGCAAGAGTCATAACAGCAAGTCGTCATTGCCAGCACTTCGTATAACATATTGTAGAGAACTGAAATTTTTCTTAGCAATCACCTTCTAAAGACTCGGTAGTTAATTATTATAGCTTGCTTCACTACTTAATTGTAGTTTATTAGGTACGACACTAACTTTTATCTATTTGATTTAATGTAAACGTCAAAATAGCCTATGATGTAGCACTATTAGCAACCCAATTTTACAAATAAAGACATAGAGTCTTTAACACATTGCTCGTGGTACACAGCAGCTGGGGGTGGGGTGGGGGAGGAGTTGGGAATGGGAGGGTGACAAAATTTAAACCTAACAAGTTCAGCTCAGCCTCCAAAGATCTGCACATTATCATCCCACGTCTAAATCATCTTACTTTCAGAGAACTGTTCTCTTAGTAATATGTATGGACAAAATACCAGGTAGAGAGTTATAATAATGTTCCTAGAATAAGACCTGGAATGAATGAATAAATGAACCAAATGAATCAAGGACCCACAGAAGAAAGTCATCCAGGCGATCTGGTAAAGCGTTTTCATTGGTTTTTTGGTGACAGTGAGCCGGTAGCTGACAGTACTGATGCTGAATGAGTTGACTATGTTTCTGGCTGGAATAGTCTCATTACACAATTTGTGCTCAGCCATTCACAGCAAACCCTCTGGCTGTTTACAGCGAGTGCCAAGATAAGAATTCCCTTCAGTATAATTATTAGATACATATTTGAAAAGGTTCCACCCCATCTAACTGAAAGACTAGATCTGGGTATCCAGAAGGAGCAAAACTAGAAAAGCAAACAGCGCCCCTACCTTAATTAGGTTTTTTTTTTTTTTCTTAAGCCTGTGACATGCTACACAGGCTCTGCAAGTGCCACCTTTATCAAAGAGAATTTTGTCTCAGCATTAACAAGGAGGGAAAGCTCAGAAAAGACCTCATTTGCCCATCCTGAACTCAAGGAAGGCTACTATATATGCAGAGATGAGCTAGCCACACCAAGGATGCTAAGTGTTAGGAATGGATCCAATGAGGTTTTTGTTTTTGTTTTCAAATGAGGAAGCATATACTCTATTATAAACAATAAAATAAAGTTTAAAAAATTATATTTCTGCTCTATTTATGCTTGTATTTTTTATATATGAAATTGTCATGCAATTATAATTTGCAACAAAGAAAAATTCTTGCAATGTATTGCATTCACAAAAGGGAAACCGAATACGAATATTGCCCGGATGTTTATACTGAATGTTTCTAAATGAATGCATGCTGAGATCAACTTCATCTAAGAAAAGAGATTTCATCTTACTTTCTTGAGCAAAGTCAGGAAGTCTCAGTTGTCTAGAATGAACTACTTTAATTCCAGGTCCTCTTTGTCCTGAAAGCCATCACTAAGAGGTAATAAGTACAAAGCAGGTGCTACCCTGGTATATAACATGCTCTACACTGTTCACTCAGGGTGCAGAGCTGGGGCTACCTCTGTGCTATCCAGAGATATGCTCACAAGGGAGAAGATTTGATAACAAGTTTCCCTGTTATTGAAACAAAAACTTTGATCTCGGGAATTGTATTATCTGGTACTTTATAGGATCCACAATCTGAACGAAGGAAAGAGTTTCCAATGAATTAATAATGGCTTGAGACTCAACACGCTGCAGCAATTTTCACTGCAGTGGTTGTTTCTTTTATAGTCACACTTGATTAGTATTAGAAATTTGGAGGAATTGCAATATGCATGGTTTTCAAAGCTCTTTACAGAATTTCATTTTTATCACTCGGAGAGAGTCAATGAAAAGGTAGTAAGAAAAGCTCTATGGGATATTTGTATAGGAGTGTCAGAAGCCAGTAAGCTAACTACATGAAAGAATTCAGATTGTACAGACAGGGTTTGGAGCAGAAGCACTTCAGAGATGTTATATCGAGTATTTTGACTTTTACATGTCCTTGGAGAAGAAAGCATGCTAACTACAAAACCAAATAAGGCAGGGAAACGAACAAACCCCAGTCTTAAGAATAACTGCAGTTTCATTTTTTTCTGCAAACTAAATGTGAAGTTTCAAAGAAAAGTGTAATAGACATTGAGCTGGTTTCTTATATCTAAAATATTGGCAAGAAGCAAAATTCTTATTTCCCTTACTAACTCATCCCAAATTTCCACCATATGGAAGTTAGTCTGGTTAGCTTAATTAAATGCTATCAACTCTTCCACAAGTCCATTTGCTCTTGATTTACCCTCAGGAGAAATGAAAAATATCAGAACACCATCTTTATAAACTAAACCATCATAATTCAAGTCTGCTTTCAATTATTTATCTGGCACTTCTTTAAATTAAAAGCATCTCAATTATTTTAACCTCTTCTCAAGACTTTAATTCTTCTTTTTCATTCTTCTAGCAAAATTATCAAAATATTACCACGATCATCCGAGCAATCTTAAAATAATAACTTGGCCATGAAAACCATAAACGAGGAGAAACTGTAATAATAGAAAACAATAAACAGTACTGTCATTATTGTAAGTGTTTAATACCATGATGCACTTAAAACTTCATTTTAATGAGATTTGCAGGGCAGGGTGGTCACTTTGAACCAAAAATTCCAAACGAGTAAGAATCTGTCAGCTGGGCTCGGTGGCTCAGCCTGTAATCCCACGCCTTTGGGAGGCTGAGGTGAGTGGATTGCCTGAGCCCGC